AGATAAGGACTTGTTTTTAAAAGCGGACTTTCCATGCATCTGTTGTTACATGTTCATAGCTACAAGGACTTTGCTGTTCTTTGAGGTAATCTATACAGTGGTGCATCATTCCCTCTTCGGACCCACCAATGAACTTCATTCCTCAGTTTCAGAATATAAGAACAGCCATTCTGGCTCAGACCAATGTCCCATCGAGACTAGTATCTTGTCTCTGACTGCAGCCAGTGACAGAGGATTCAGAGGGAATCAACAGTACAGGAAAATGTATCAAGTGACTCATCCTGTTGTCTAGTCCTTGCCTCTGCCAGGTGCAAGTTCAGGGACACCTGGAGCATGGAGTGGTATCCCTGTGCATCTTAGCTAATGGCCACTGATGGACCTATTTTCCATTCATTTATCTCATTCTTTTTCGAACCCTTATACTTTTGACCTTCACAATTTCCTAAGGTAACAATTTTCACAGGTTGACTGTGCTTTTTATTTTACTTTAAAACTGTGAATGTCATCGGGTGACCCTAGTTCGTGTGTTCTGTGTAGGTGTAAATAAAACTTCCTTATTCGCTTTCTCCTTATCATTCTTGATTTTAAATAAACCTAACATATTACCCATTAATCCCTGTCTTTTTAATATCTCTGCATGTAGAAGCTGTTCCATGCCCCAATAATTTTGGTTACCCTTCTCTGCACATTATAAAATTATTTTTTGAGATGAAGTGACCAGAACTATATGCAGTTTTCAAGGTGTAGGTGTACCATGGATTTGAATAGCGGCATTATGATATATTCTGGTTTATTATCTATCCCTTTCTTAATGGATTCTAATATTAGGTAGCCTTTTTGATCACTGCAAATTGAGTGGATGTTTTCAGAGAATTTTCTTTGATGACTGCAAGATCTCTTTCTTGAGTGATAGCAGCTAATTTCTCTCTCATCATTTGGAATGTTTTAACTGGGATTATTTTCCCTCCATGTGCATTACTTTGCACTTGTCCACAATGAATTTCATGTGCCATTTTGTCACCCAGTGATCCAGTTTAGTGAGTTCTTCCTGTGATTCTTTGCAGTCAGTTTTGTACTAAACTATCTTGAGTAATTTTGTATCCTCTGCAAACTTTGATATCTCTCGGTTCACCCCTTCTTCCAGATTATTTGTGATTATGTTGAGCAGCACTTGTCCCAGTAGAGACTTTTTGAGAGGGGAATCCTCTTATTTACCTTTCTCCATTGTGAAAACTGACTATTTATTCCTACCCTTTGTTTCCCATCTTTTAGCCAGTTACTGAGCCATGACAAGACTTCCCTCTTAGCCTTTGATTGCCTAGTTTGCTTAAGAGCCTTTAATTAGGGACTTTATCAAAGGCATTCTGAAAATCCAAATACATTATTCAAACAGGATCACCTTTGTCCACATGCTTGATGACTCCCTCAAAGAATTCTAACAGATTGGTGAGGCACAATTGCTCTTTACAAAACCTGTGTGGACTCTTCCCCAACACATTGTGTTTATCTATTGTCTGATGATTTTTTGGGGGGGAGGGGAGGAGTAACTATAGTTTCATCCAAATTGCCTGGGACTAAAGCTATCCTTACTAGTTTCTAATTGCCAGATAGCCTCTGAAGCATTTTTTAAAATAGTTGTCACATGAGCTACCCTTCTATCATCTTGTACAGAAGCTGATGTAAGCAACAGGTTACGTGTCATACTCTGTAATTTCTGACCGACTCCACCATTCCAACAATGAGGAAGTTATAATGCTGATGGATGAGATAAACATGTATAGTTGATATTTAGCTGCAATTAAAGTCAGATTAAGGATGACCAGAAAGCATTTGGGATTTGTAAATTTCATGCATGTCATCTGATGAAGCATTATATGAGATACATCATCCCTGTTATTTTGGCCAAACCTGATTACAATACATACCATAATTTAGATACTTTTTTTATTCACTATAGGAATGTCAACATGGCCCCTTTCCCAGCCTACCATAATTCTGTAGAAATGTATATAGAAAAACATTTGACAAAAATGTTATTAGTTAAATGGTGCAGAAACAAAAAATCATAAACAGGCCCAAGATCTTTGCTCTCTCTGGAGTTTAAGAATATTAAAGGTTTTTTTGCCCCTTCTGTTCGTTATTACTGGTGCTGAATATAGTTCAATACTAATGCCCGCCATATAAATGAAATTCCACAAATATTTTGTAAGTGGCTTATAAACATGTAGGGCTAGATATATATACCAGTATAATTTTATTCTACAAAGCTAAACTATGTAGAGACTAAATTATGCCGTTTGTAGAATGTCTACCACAACAGGGTCCCAATCCTGATTACATTATATAAATGGAAAGGGTTAGGATGATATTCAGAGTCAGCATACCCCAGAATGTATTTCAGAAGCTTGAACTGAAATTCTAAATGAAATGTTTTCATTCAAGTAAAAAGAAAACCTATACAAATGACAAAAGCATCTCCCAATGACAATGGTGACATTTCCATCCTTTGAAATGGTCGATATCTACTGAGGATCTTTTCTTCCTGCTTCTCAAAAGGCTCTATACCACCTGTGTGTTAGATAATTCCTCACTTAACCTTCACTGCCCTTTCTCTTTCATACTAGAGGTGTTTAATTACCTCAGATTCACAAAGCTGCACTTCAGGTGAACATAGTCCTAATGGTCTCATTACCATTTACACAAAGAAATACTCACTGATAGTAACTAAGCAAATATCAACTGTATACCCTCTACACAAGCAAATTTGAACCCTGTCCAAGCATGCAGGTTACCATACTCTTCTCTCCATACTCCAAGGTCTGCAGTTTTGAAGGATTACCCATTACCATTTTCTGTTCTTCAAAATTTCTCATATATAAATAGGTTGTGACTTGGTTTGTTGTCTTTCCTTTTTAGTGCTTATAGCTCAATAACTTCTCAAGTCTGGTTGTATATCTCCATACTATTGTTAGTGACAGCATTTTTGCTTTTCAAACACACAAAATAAGATAAAACATCTCTTTGCACATTAATGTTTAACTTGCTGTGCCTGAGCCGCAATGGCTGCAACCAAATCATCAACAAATAATTTTGTCAGCAGAATTTTTTAGTGTTGAAGATGCTAGGACAGGATATGTTCACTCTCTAAAGCAGATGGCACAGAAGTGAAATAGGTGGAAAAACAGAAGATATAGGAAAACTAAGACCACACACTACCGTTTCCTTTGTTTTACATGACATAGAATGCCATGGCTTAAAACGGAAAAGAGAGTGTGAGGGAGTGAGAAGAGGGCCGGGCGGTGCGGAGGCTAAAGAAAGCCTTTTTGCCCAGCTAGCCCCACCCTGCTTTACCTGCAGCCAATGCCAGACCTGGAGAGAGGATAAGAGAAAAGAGCCTGGCTCAGTTAGGGGCTGACCAGCAGAGACAGGACCTGAGCTTAGGGTCATAGCTTTGTGTCCCAGCCTCCTCCCTGTTTCTGCAACTCTGCCAGAGGATCTCGGCGTTAATACTTTTTCTGCCAATGAGCACAGTTGCTCAAAAAAGGTAAAGCTAGGAAAAAGCCAGGTGCCATAAGGAAGTCTGAGGATTTTAAGAGCACTAGAAATGCAATATATACATTGTCTCTATGGCATCCTGTTTATTGTCTATTCAATGAGTGGGCATTGGCCTTAACACAACAACTTTACTTGAAACTTGTAGATCTGCCGTCATATTCAAGCACTGGCTGCTCACCTAATTTTTCTTTACCTTTCTCAAAATCTAAAAAAGTTGTGCCTTTTTTTGCTGGCACATGCTACAATGTGGACTGCAGAAAATGTAACCCATGGCAATGTATTTAATTGGCTTGTGTCAAATGTTTGTTCTAGACATAATTACAAAGAGATTTCTGGATATTTATTTGTAACTTTTCCTGAAGCATGACAGTGATTTTGTCATAAGATGCCTGAAATTACTCTCTCATACTTTAAGGTGGTGAATTAAAGGGGTGTCCAGCATTGATTGTAAATCCAAACATTATAGTTTAATGTCAATAATCCATGCATTAAATGAGCTTCTAAGCACATGCTAACATGTAGACTATCATAGACTATAGATAGACTATAATCTATGGCTCATTTGCTTTCATTGAAACCACTCTTACTAGGCCAAATGGAATTATAGCACCATTAGACTGTTAAGTCTGAACAAGTTACAAATAAGCATAATTATTAATTTTATCCTCAGCTCACCCATGTTTGGAAGGCCAAGTAACAGCTGTAACTATTTTCTTGGCTTTTGCTTTCTATATTAGCTTTACAGGTTATTTTTGCAGCTATATCTTGAAGCTCATAATCAACCCAGAAAACTTTAGTGTGTTTTTTTTATTAGCACAAACTTGGGGAAAGAGGCGCTTGCTGCTAAAGTACAGGAATGGCAATCAAAAGATCTAGATTCTATTTCTGGCTCTCTGACAGGCTTTTAATGTGGCCTAAGGCAAGTCATAACCTCGCTGCATCTTAGGTTCCTCATTTATGAAAGAAGTAGAATAATGACATACCTCACTAGGGTGTTCTGAGGCTTAATAAATTAGCATTTCTAAATCACTGAGATCCTCAGATAGAAGGTGTTAACTATTTACTGATAAAGAACTGTAGAAAAAAATTAATAAACCCATTCTTGTGTGGTATGTATAAGAGGAGAGTTTTCCGCCTCCTTTAAAATGAAAATTAAACA